TTTCCTTTCCAGAGCAGCTCCCCGCACCCACGCGCCCCATAAATCGGGATTAGGGTTCAAAGCTCAAAGTCCTGCGGCTTCCCGAACCGCCCCGGCAGCTGGGGTGCCCCGTGCCACCCCCTATTGCCCCACGCCACCCCCGTTTTGCCCCACACCACCCCGAATTGCCCCCTGCCACCCCCTATTGCCCCCTGCCACCCCCTATTGCCCCGTGCCACCCCCTATTGCCCCACGCCACCCCATACTGCCCCACACCACCCTGTACTGCCCCGTGCCCCCCCCCCTATTGCCCCCTGCCACCCCCTACTGCCCCCCTGCCCACCCTTTTGCCCCATGCCACCCCCTATTGCCCCCTGCCACCCCCTACTGACCCTGCCACCCCATATTGCCCCGTGCCACCCCTGTATTGCCCTGTGTTCACCCTGTTTTGCCCCACACCACCCCCTATTGCCCCACGCCACACCCTATTGCCCTGTGCTCACCCCCTATTGCCCCACGCCACCCCCTATTGCCCCATGCTCACCCCATATTGCCCCACGCCACCCCATATTGCCCCGTGCTCACCCCGTATTGCCCCCTTGCCACCCCATATTGCCCCACGCCACCCCCTATCGCCCCACGCCACCCCCTACTGCCCCGTGCCACCCCGTACTGCCCCCTGCCACCCCGTACTGCCCCCTGCCACCCCTTTTGCCCCACGCCACCCCGTACTGCCCTGTGCTCACCCCCTGTTGCCCCACACCACCCAGTACTGCCCCACGCCACCCCCTATTACCCCACGCCACCCCATATTGCCCCGTGCTCACCCTGTATTGCCCCCTGCCACCCCATATTGCCCCACACACCCCCCTATTGCCCCACGCCACCCCTATTGCCCCCTGCCACCCCCGTACTGCCCTGTGCTCACCCCATATTGCCCCATGCCACCCCCTATTGCCCTGTGCTCACCCATATTGCCCCACGCCACCCCCTATTGCCCCCTGCCACCCCGTACTGCCCCACGCCACCCCGTACTGCCCCCTGCCACCCCGTTTTGCCCCGTCCCACCCCCATTTTGCCTCCCGCTCACCGCAGGACAGGATGAAGTTGGAGGAGGTGAGCACGATGAAGGGGAAGGTCTGCAGGAGGCCGAAGTAAACCAGTTGGTGAAGAGCCCCACGCCCACCATGAAGCCGGGGAAGTGCTCGAAGAGGTAGAGGCCGACGAGCACGGCCGTGGAGAACTGCAAGGAGGAGTGGGGGGGTCACAGGGGGGGCACCAAGCAGGGCTGAGCCCCCCCAAGCTCCTGCACGGAGTAATTGTGGTGTGAGCAGAGCAAACGCAGCTCCTGAGCTGTTTTTATGCAGATAAAGAGGCAAAAACCCGGCTGTGGGCACCCATCGAGGTGGCAGCGGTGTCCCCAGCACCCCGAGGGGGGGGGACAGGATGGATGTGGCCCCCCCCGGCAGCCCCGCACTCACCCAGATCATGTATTTGATGATCCTCCTGGTCACCACCGTGTACTCCTCGATCAGCTCTGCCAGGTAGTAGAGGCCGGCGGCTGCGGGAGGAGCAATGGGATCAGCCCCCCCACCCCGTATGGATGAAGGGGGGGGTCCCGGGGAAGAAAGGGTGCAAATGGGGGCACCCAGAGGGATCCCAAACCCTGGGGCATCCCTCAGGAGCTCGGGGTGCCTGGATTGTGTGGCACTGGGGGGGCTCGGGACCCTGGGGACCCCCACCCCGTTGGGACCCCCTACTCCCTGAAGACCCCCCCAGTCCCTGAGGACCCCCACTCCCTGGAGACCCCCAAACCCTGGGCACCCCCACCCCCGTGGACCCCCACCCCATGGGGCCACCCATCCCCTGGGACCCCATCCTCTGGGACCCCCAAACCCTAAGGACCCCCACCCCTTACAGATCCCCAGCCCCTGGGGACCCCCAAACCCTTAAGACCCCTACTCCTTGGGGACCCCCACCCCATGGAGACCCCCTGGGGACCCCTCCACTCCCTGGGACCCCTCACCCCATAAGGACCCCTGGAAACCCCCACCCCTGGGATCCCCCCCACCCCCTGCGACACCCCCACCCCTTGGGGACCCCCTTGAGGACCCCCTGGACACCCCCCACCCCCTAAAGACCCCTAAGGACCCCCTGAAGACCCCCACCTCCTAAGGACCCCCTAAGGAACCCCCTTGGGGACCCCCACCCCATGGAGACCCCCTGGGGACCCCCCCCTCCTGTGGACCCCCTGGGGACCCCCGGGGACCCCAACCCAGCAGCCCCCGGTACAACCAGGGGACAAACAGGGCACACGGGGGACACCCGGAGACCCCCCCACAGCCCCCAAAACCCCCTAAACCCCCCCCTAGACCCCCCTAAACCCCCCCAATCCCCCCCCCAGGGCCTCCCCCAGCCCCTCACCGATGGCCAGGGTGACGAAGGCGACCTGCAGCAGCAGGGACAGCCAGCTCAGGGCGTACAGGAACCACATGGCCGGGCCTGAACCCAACCGGGCCAACCGGGCCCAACCGGGGCCTGGAACCGGGGCCTGGAACCGGGCCCCAAGCGGGCCGGGAGCGGGGCCGGGCCCCGCCGCTGCCCACGCGGCGCCGGAAGCAGCGAAAGGGCCCGGCCCGGCCCGGTCCCCCCCCACAGCGCCCCCTGCAGGCCGGGAGGACCTCGGCCTAAATTTTTTTGGGGGGCCCTTGAGGTTTTTGGGGGGCTGAGGGGGTCTCCGGAGCGCAGAGGAGCCCCCCCAAAAAAGGGTGTCTTCTGGGATCACGCAAAGCACAGGGGAGCCCCTCAAGATGGGCGGGGAGACAGGGAGGAGGCCCCCGCAGCCATATGGGGAGCCCTGAACCCATATGGGGGCCCTACACTCATATAGGGACCCCTACAGTCATATAGGGACCCCCTGCACTCTTATAGGGAACCCTTACAGTCATATAGGGACCCCTTACACCCATATAGGGACCCCTACACCCATATAGGGACCCCTACACCCATATGTGGACTCCCTACACTCATATAGGGACCCCCCCCACCCATATATGGCCCCCCTGCACTCACACATGGACCCCAGCACCCCTATAGGGCCCCCCTTCTCCTCTACAGGAACCCCTGCACTCATTATAGGGACCCCTACACTCATATAGGGAACCCTTACAGTCATATAGGGACCCCCTACGCCCGTATAGTGACCCCCTACAATCATATAGGGACCCCCTTCAGTCATTATAGGGACCCCCTACACCCATATAGGGACCCCTACACTCATTTTAGGGACCCCTACACTCACATATGGACCCAGCACCCCTATAGGGCCCCCTTCTCCTCTACAGGAACACCTGCACCCACATAGGGACCCCCTACACTCACTATAGGGACTCCTAAACCCATTATAGGGAACCCCTACACTCATTATAGGGACCCCCTGCACTCACATAGGGACCCCCCGCACTCATATAGGGAACCCCTGCACTCATTATAGGGAACCCCTACACCCGTACAGGCATCCCCTACATCCATATAGGGACCCCCTGCACTCATATAGGGACTCCCTTCACTCATATAGGAGCCCCCTACAACCACGTAGGGTCCCCTACACCCATATAGGGACCTTCTGCACTCATATAGGGACCCCTACACTCATTATAGGGACTCCTACACACATTATAGGGACCCCTAAACTCATTATAGGGAACTCCTACACCCATATAGCGACCCCCTACACTCACATAGGGACCCCAGCACCCCTATAGAGGCCCCCTTCTCCTCTACAGGAATCCCTGCACCCATATAGGGACCCCCTACCCTCGTATAGGGACCCCTACACTCATATAGGGACCCCCTACACCCATATAGGGACCCCCTACACTCACACATGGACCCCAGCACCCCTATAGGGACTCCCTTCTCCTCTACAGGAACCCCTGCACCCATATAGGGACCCCTATACTCATTATAGGGACCCCCTACATTCATATAGGGAACCCCTACAATCATTATAGGGACCCCTACAATCATATAGGGGCCCCCTACACCCATATAGGGCCTCCTATACACATTATAGGGACCCCAGCACCCCTATAGGGGCCCCCTTCTCCTCTACAGGAATCCCTGCACCCATATAGGGACCCCCTACACTCATATAGGGACCCCTACACTCATTATAGGGACTCCCTACACTCACACATGGACCCCAGCACCCCTATAGGGGCCCCCTTTTCCTCTACAGGAACCCCTGCACCCATATAGGGTCCCAGAACCCCTATGGGGACCCCAGGCTGGCACCACATCGGTGTCCCTGTGTCCATACAGAAACCCTGCACCCCTATAGGGACCCCCTGTATCCATACGGGGACCCCTACATCTGCCTCCTCCAAGGGGGGGCACCCCAGGGAGAGACCCCAAAGAGGGGACTGTGGGGTTGGGGTGGTCCCACAGCTTGGGGGCACGGAGGGGGTCCTCAGCCCCGTCCCACCCCACGTACTGGGTGTCACTGGTTTGCACTGGGCGGTGTGTTGGGATCCTGGCTCCCCCCCTTCCCCTATACTGGGACAGGGGATGGGGTCCCACGGTGCCCCCGGCACCGCCTCCAGCACCCCAAATTCATCTGGGGTGAGGGGGGGGACACCCCGTGACCCTCCGGGGCAGGGTGCTGGGACCCTTTGGGGTGGCCTTAGGGTCTCACTGGGGAGCAGCGCCCCAAGGGACGGGGGGACTGGGGACAGGGGATATGGGGACACAGGAACAGAGGGACATGGGGACATAGGGATGGAGGGACATGGGGACAGGGAAATATGGGGACACGGGGACAGAGGGACATGGGGACAGGGGGATGGAGGGACATGGGGACATGGGGACAGGGAAATATGGGGACATGGGGACAGGGGGACATGGGGACAGGGGAATATGGGACACAGGGCCAGAGGGATATGGGACATGGGGACAGAGGGACATGGGGGCAAGGGGATATGGGGACACAGGGACAGGGGGACATGGGGACACAGGGACATGGGGACAAGGAAATATGGGACACGGGGACAGGGAGACATGGGGGGGACAACAAGGGATGAAGGGACATGGGGACAGGGAAATATGGGGACATGGGGACAGGGGAACATGGGGACAGAGGGGACATGGGGACACAGAGACATGGGGACAGGGGAATATGGGGATGCAGGGACATGGGGACATGGGGATATATGGACAGGGGTACCTATGGACAGGGGGCTGCAGGGATATGGGAACACGGGGACACAGGGACATGGGGACATGGGGACAGGGGAATATGGGGACATGGGGACACAGGGACATGGGGACACCAGCACAGGGCAGGCAGGATCCCAGAGTGTGTGAAGGGGGCTGTAGGGGAAAGGGCCCCATTTCTGCCCGCAGCATGGGGTCACCGCGGGGCTGCAGGGGCACCGAGCCCAAACGCTGTGGGGGTGTGGGGTGTGGGGTGTGGGGTGCCCACCCAGCCTGCCGGTTATGGGGTCGTGCACCCCAAACTGTTTGTGTGGGGACGCCCAAACCCAGATTTGTGCCTCCCGGCTGGGTTTGTAGGGTGACGCAATCCCAAAGCCGCCCGGTGCTGGTGGGGGGGTTATTGGTGATTTTTTTCCCGTATTTCCCCCAAAAACGCACGTGGTGCCGCGGGGCCGCCGCTCCCAGCAAGCAGTGGGGTCAGCGCGTGGGGACAGACGGACATCCCGGCGGCCCCTTTCCCTTCCCCATCTCTCCAGAGATTTGGGATTTTCCCCGTGCCCCCCTCCCCATTTCTTCCCCCCCCCCAGGGTTGGGGGCGATGCCACGGGGTGCGCTCCCCGGTGCGCAAAGCGCCCGTTTGGGGCCGGACACGCAAGCACCGGCCCCGTGCCGTCTGATGCAAACTGGGATGAACTGGGAGCTGCTGTGGGGGCTGTGGGGGGGCTGGGATGAACTGGGAGCTGTGGGTTTTTTTTGGGGGGGGGCTGGCGCTGCCCCAGTAATGTGACATTGGGGCGCATCGGCACCGCGTGCCACCCGCTGCGCCTCGGGCACCCGGCGCGTCTTGGGCACTTGGGCACCCGGGCACCTTGGGCACCTTGGGCACCCCAGAATCCCAAACACCCCAAGAATCCCCAACACCCAAATACCCCAACAAACCCCAAGCACCCCAAACACTCAATCGGGGCATTCCCCATCCCAGGACGTTGCAGCCACCGGGTGCCGGGTGCCGGGTCCTGGGCACCCTGCGCACCTTGGGCACCATGGGCACCTTGGGCACCCCAAGACCCCAAGCACCCCAAACACCCCAAATACCCCAAACACCCCAAATACACCCCAAACACCCCAAACACTCAATCGGGGCATTCCCCATCCCAGGACGTCGCAGCCACCGGGTGCCAGGTGCCGGGTACTGGGTCCTGGGCACCTTGGGCACCTTGGGCACCTTGGGCACCCACCAAGAACCCCAAACACCCCAATACCCCAAACACCCCAATACCCCAAACACCCCAAACACCCAAATACCCCAAACACCCCAAACTCGAAAGAAACATTTGGGGTTGCGCGTAGACAGGAATTCAGCACGATTTCTGCAAAAAAAGGGCGGGCAGGAAGGAGCTTTGCTGCTTTTGGGTCCGGATTTTGTTCCCTGCGGTGCTCCCGACCCCATTCCTGTGGATTTTTCGGTTCCAACCCCGGTGCCCGCAGCCTCCGGGGCCAAATCCCTGCAGGACGGTGGCTCTGGGATGTCCTGGACATGCAGGGGGGCACTGCAGGAACAAAAACCCAGGAAAAAAAACAGGAAAAACCCTGCAGGGGGGATGTGGGTTTGGGGACGGGGGGCACGGGGAGGGATTTGTCCCTTTTTTTATCCTGACCCCGCTGCGTTCCCTCGGCAGTGCTGGTCGTCCTCAACCACTACCTGGCCTTCCAGTACTTCGCAGAGGAATATTACCTGTTCTCCGAGGTGAGAAAAGTAGAAAAAGTACTTTTTCTTTAAAAAAAAAAGTACTTTTTAATTTTTTTTTCTAGGAAAAGTAGAAAAAATCCTACTTTTTAAGTTTTTTTTACAAGCTAAACCCAAACCACCTCCTGCTTGGAATAATCGCTCCTCGTTTCGTGCCTCGGGCACGCTGATTCTTCTGCCCTCACACCTGCAGGGGGGGGTGGAGGCGCAGATCCACCCCGGGTTCTCCTTAAACCTCCTTAAACCCGCCCGAAAATTTGGGAATTTATTTCCTCGCCGCCCTGTGCTCTCCCTGCAGGTCCTCGCCTACTTCACCTTCTGCCTCTGGTTGATCCCTTTTGCTTTTTTCGTCTCCCTGTCGGCCGGAGAAAACATCCTGCCGTCCACGGTGCAGCCTGGAGGTGAGTTTTGGGGGGGGAAATCCTGCCCAAATCCTACCCAAATCCTCCCAAAACCGGGGCAGAAAGGAGCTCTGCTGCCTGGGGAGAGGAGCAGGGCGAGGCTGCTCTGGTTTTGGGGCTGGTTTTTTTTTGGTTGGGGCTGGGGGGGGAATGCTTTGCTCCAATCCTGGCGCTCTGGACCTCTCGCTGGGGCTTTCCCCTCGTGCTTCAGCCTCAGAATCAGAGGATTTGGGCTGCCTGTAGGGCTGGGACAGCCCAAATGGGAGCAAAATACAAAAAAACCCCACTCGTGCGCTGCCCCAAACTGCAGGACCTGCCCCAAAATCGCTGATTTTGTTTTTTTCTTCCTTTTTCTTCTCAGATGACGTCGTCTCCAACTATTTCACCAAGGGAAAGAGGGGCAAGCGCTCCGGCATCCTCCTCATCTTCTCCTTCATCAAGGAGGCCATCCTGCCCAGCCGGCAGAAAATTTACTGAGCAAAATGTGCCGAGGGCTGCGGGGCAGCGCAGCCCCCACGCCTCGCTGGAGCCCTCCCCGACGCCTGCAGCCAGGATCCCGCTGGGAACCCGTGGATTCGTGGGGGCTGCGGGCACTGAACGGGCTCTGCTGACGTCCTGGGACTGCCTGCGAGGAGGAGGAGGAGGGTGAGGAAAGTCTGGCGCCCCACGCAGAGACCCGCCAGGCACCGGCACCCGTTCCCGGTGCGAGGCTGGAGGCCGCGTGCTGCGGTTTGGCTCCCTCGGCACAGCAGCGGGCTGTTGACGTTTAACTGAGGTTTATACAGAGCCATTAATTAAAAAAAAAAAAAACACAAAAAAACCAGAAAAAAACAAAAAACAAATTAACCAGCCTCTGGATGAGCCCCGCGTCCCCGCCTGCTGGCACCGCGGCACGGGGAGCACCCCGGGACAGCAGGGGTGGAAGGAAGGAAGGAAGGAAGGAAGGAAGGAAGGAAGGAAGGAAAGAGCGCTTTTGGTTTTTGATTTAACTTTGGAGATCTCCAACTTTGCCCTGGTTTTGCTGGAAAACTCCCCGAGGGGCCTGGAAGCTGCTGGCCGTGCCCCTCGGCGTCTCCTGCGCTACTAAACCCGCCGATCTCCCTGATTTCCAGGTCAAAAAAAAGTAAATGATCCTGCTGAGGAGGAGGTGCGAGCCCTTTGTTCCTTCCTACGATCATTAAAAAAATCCTTTTTTCCCTTTTTGTGCTTTGTTGTCGCTCCGCTTCGGCCTGGGGCAGAGCTGGGTTCCCCCCGGCTCCACGGGGTCGCGGTTCTGGGATGGTTTTTAAGGAGTTTTTAAGAAAACGGTGACGTTTTTTGCCTTATTACCTGCGAAGCTGGGTGCGGGGCTGCCCCTCCAGCCCCTATTCCCTGAGGACATCGCCTCCTGCGCCTGCGTCTTTTTGGGTTTTATTTCTGGAGAAGAAGGGGACATCCCTGAGCGACCTCGGGGTGTGCGTGGCGAGGTTTTTACCCCAAAGCTGCAGCCTGCGGGCCCCCGTGGGTGTCAGGACGGGCTTGGCAGCCCACAGGGACAGGGTCAGGCTCCTCGTGCTGATCCCTGGGCATTTAGGATATATTTAGGATATTAATGACACCTTAATGGGGATTTTGAGGAGTCCCACAGCGGGATGACAGCGACCAAAACCCCACGGATATTGAACACCAAACGAAGCCTCGCGGGCACGGTGCGCACCCTAATTAGCACAACGAGGCTCCATCAATCCCAACCATGCAAAAATGCGTAAATTTTGTAAATTTTTAACGGGGAGAATCCCTAAAATCCCACACCGAGGCGCGTGGCTCCCCGCCAGCCGCAGAGGGAAAGTTATTTATTATTTTTTTTCCTGCAGCAGAGAAGGAAAGCGGAGGCTGAGGGGGACCAAAGTCACCCCCCCAGGTGCTGCGCCCATCCCCGGGCACCTCCAGAATCCAGAATTGAGCCCCCCAGACCCTGCCCCTGGATGCTTTGGAGCATTTTGGGGGGTTCCCGAGCTGCCACCACCACGTGCCATGGCCAAGGGTGAGCCCCCCGCAGTGCCACCCTGCTGGGGGCTTCGCTCTGCGCCCCAGCCCCCCGGCACCAGAGGGGGCTGCGAAGGAGCCGGGGGGGGGCCGGTGCCACCTGGGTTTAATTAAAGCAGAAGGAAATGAGCACAAAGCGAGCCATAAATGTCCTCGTCCACCCCATCTGGCCGTGGTTGTCCCCTCTAGGCCAGGACCCCCCCACACTGCCCCCAGCATCGCCCCCCACCCAGTGTCCTTCCCCCAATTTTGGGCAGATTTCTTCTGCGTTGCCGTGCCCGAGCCAGCAGCTGCGTCCTGGTGGCCCTGGGGACACGGCTGGTGGCCTAAGCAGGACGGACGGAGGGCTGGACAGACGGACAGCCCTGCTCCCCTCCGTCCGCCCCGCTCCGGGCAGGTTTGGGGTGGGTTTGGGGCTGCCCCCTCCCCTCCTTCTCCCCCCCTCCAGCCTGCCAGGCGCAGGGTCTGCTCCGGGAGATGCCTCCCACCGCCCGCGGGCGGAACTGGAGGGGGTCCCCAGCCCCGTCCCCGTGCCAGGGGCTGGGGGAAGCGGCTCTGCCAGCATCCTCGTGACCTGGGGAGGGACAAAGGGACAGAGCGGGGGGGTCAGGGTCACAAGGGGCTGCTGTGAGCACGGGGACAGTGACATCAGGTCCTTGGTGATGGATCCGTGCCACCTACCCGAGCCCCAAACCCGAGCCCCCAACCCCTCTGCGCCCAACCCCAGCCCCTACCCGGCTCCGTCCTGCCCCCAGCCCCGGGGTCGGGGTCGGGGTTGGGGTCGGGGTCGGTGGTGTCCGGCCCTGGGGGGGACTCGGGGACATCGATGGCCCGGCGGCGTCGCTGCAGGATGGCCTCCAGCTGCCTGTCCTGGCCCCGCACGCTGCTCCTGCGCCCGCTCGTCCTCCTGCTCGCCCTGCGCATGGCGCCCTAGGGGATGGCACAGCGAGCTGGGGGGCTGCAGGAACAGGCCCCCCCAGCTCCGTCTGGGTCACCCCATGAAGGGGGCACCCCCTCTGCCACCACCCCTTTTGGGGACGGAGCTGCTCACCAGGATGCCCCGCAGCTCCAGCGCCGCGCTCCTCCGCTTGCTGGCTGACTGCGGGAGGAGGGGAGGAGATGTCACCACGTCCCCCCCCAACCCCACAGCTCCCCCCCCGTGCCCGTGGTCCCCAGGGACTGGGGAGCTCAGGGTTTTTTGGGATAAGCCAGGACGGGTGGGGAACCCTTGGGGTAAAGGCTCCAGCTCCCTGCCCGTCCCCATTTGCGCTGGGAGCAGCGATCCTACAGACCTGGCGCATGGGGAGCGGGGTCCTGACCCCCTTTTTGGTGCACCCAGCAGAGGCGGCTCCCCAAAAACACCCCGAGCCCCAGCCCCACGTCTCCTACCTGGCTCAGGGCCACCCGCTCCTTGGCGGGTCTCAGCACCACCCCGTTCTTTATCCTCTCCATCATCTCCTGCACGGCTCGGGCTTTGGCATCGCCAGGTCCCGGTTTCCCTGTGTGGGGAGCACCCCGCTGGGAGCCGTGCCGGGCAGGGGGGGGGTGCTCCTGCCTCCATCCGTGTCGGGAGCATCGCCGGCAATCCCCTGGGAATTTGGGGTGCCCCCACACAGCGGGGGAGGGCAGGAGTTTGGGGCCACGCTCTCGGACTTACGGTGCTGCGGGTTGGCCTGCCCCTTCCTCTGCCTGAGCGCCAAGAGGGGGCTGTGGGGGGGGGAGAGGGGCTGAGAGCCTGCTGGAGCTGCCCCCCCAGCCCTGCTCCCCGCTGCACACGCAGCCAAACACGCAGCCCGCACCCCCTGCTCCATCCACGGCACCGGCAAGCCCCCCACCCCATTAATTCCCCCCTCAGAGCCGTCCCCACCTCACCCACCCCAGTGCCCACCCAGAGCCCCCCCGGCACCGTGCCCAGCTCTGCCCCATCCTCCCCCTGCCCTCCCGGCACCCGCAGCACCCCGGGGACGTGGCACAGCCCCACCGTGTGTGGGGGGGAGCAGGATTTGTGCCCCCACAGCCCAGACCACCCCAAACCCCCCCCGTGTGCCACTCACTCCACGGGGACGCTGGGCGCAGGCGGTGGCAGCGGTGGCGGTGGCGGCGGTGGCGGGGGCTCGCTCCGTGCCAGGTCCCCCTCCTGCTCCAAACTCGCTGCCATGGGGCCACATTTAGTGCTCAGAGGGGGGGGGTGGGCATTTTAGGGCTGGTTCCCCGTGCCCAGCTGAATCCCCCAGCCCCAAGGGGGGGGGGGTCAGGGAGAAGCACCCACCGGCCGCCTCCAGCTCCTCCAGCCGCCCGCGCGCCTCCTGCAGCTGCGCCCTCAGCTCCTGCCTCCCCTCCTCGGCCGCAGCCAGCGCAGCCCTGGCCAGCTCCAGCTCCTCCTGCCGCGGCCTGGCACGCAGCTGCTCCTCCAGCTCCTTCACCTGCGGGCAGACACGCGAGGGGCAGAGAATTTGGGGTCCTCCCCGGGCACCCCCACCCCGTGCCAAAGCGCACCGAGCGCCAACCCACCCCTGGGCGCATTTCGGAGCACAATAATGGAAATCCAAGGGGGGGAAAACCCCTCTTGGGGGGTGGAAATGGGTGCGTGGAGAGGTTTGGAGAGGTTTGGAGAGGTTTGGGGGTCCCTCACCTGCTGCTGGTGCTGTTGCCGAGCCTCCTCCAGCGCCCTGCTGAGGCTGCCCACCTCCTGCAGCGCCCGCAGCAGCTGGGCGCTGGGCGCCGCGCTCTGCAGCAGAATGCTGCTCTGCCTGCTCGCCTCCTTCTTCTCCACCAGCATCTGCCCCGGGGGGGTCGGGATCGGAACGGGGCGGAGGCTGGCGCTCAGCCCCTCGCCGTGCCGCAGCCAAAAAACCCCCCCAAAAAAACCCCAAACTCTGCGCTGCAGGGCGGCACCCCCGTGCGCCACGATGGGCACGAGACTTTGCTTCCCCGCAGGATTTGGGGTGATGCCCCCCTCCCCTCCCCGCCCTCTGATGGCTCGTAGGGTGCTGCCCCCCCCCGCCCAGCACCCCAGGGTGCCCCCCCCAGCCCACCCAAACCTTGTGGGCGAAGGCCTCGGCGTGCAGGCGCAGGTCCTGCTCCAGCTCCAGCTTCTGCAGCGCCTCGCAGTAATCCTGGGTGACCACCTGGGACACTGCCACAAGGGGGGGGGGGGTTAAAACTGGGGTGTTGGGGGGGGGCACAAACCCCTCGGGATGCCCAAATCCCCGCTCGGGGGGTCTGGTATCGCCTCTGGTTTCCACCGGCTTCCTTCATCTGGGTGGCACTGGGGGTACTGGGGGTACTGGGAGCCATCCAGCACCTCCCTGGTGGGGCGCAGGGGGGGTGGGAGCGGTGCCCGGGGGGGTCAGCCCCCCCCTCACCTCTCTTGAAGGATTTGAGGGTCCGCTGGGATGAATCCAGGGCCGCCTTCAGGCTCTGCCTCTCCATCTTCTCCTTCTCCAGCTGCAGCAGGACAAACCCCCCCGTTGGCACCCCGGGTTTGGGGCCTGCTGCCCCCAGCCCCCCCCAAAAAAAAACATCAGGGAGAGGGGCTGCACATGGAGGGGTCCTTCACCCCCCCCCAAAAAAAAAAAAAACATCTCCAGCTCAGCAAGGAGCAGGAGAAGGAGGCGAAAAGGGAAGGTGCTGGGGGGGCTCCGAGCCCATCGGGGGGGGCAGAGGGGGTCCTGGGGGGGGGCTGCCCCCATACCTGCTCCTGCAGGTCCCGGTTCTGCCTCTGCAGCTCCTGGACCTGGATGCTCAGCTCCTTCTTCTCCACCAGCAGCCAGGAGAGCTTCTCCTGCAGACCTGGAGCAACAAAAAAAAAAAAAAAAAAAAAGGGGTGGGGGGCGCACGGGGGGTGGCCAAGGGGCCAGCAGCCCCCTCCTCCCCCAGGCCACAAACAAAACCGAAATCGTGAGCGTGGGGAAAAGAGAAGAGGGCAGGGGGAAGTGGGGCTGCGGCGTTTTCATTTCGCCTTTCTCCCCTGTCCCAGCGTTTCCCGGAGCCAGGAGAGCCGCTGGGATTAATTAATTAATTAGCTAATTAGCTGATTTAGTGACCACCGCTACGGGGGAACGGCAGCGGGAGCGAGCGCAGCTGGGGGCAGAATTCACCGAAATTCGTGCGGAAATAGGGGCAAAAACTCACCCTTGAGCTCCTCCTGGGTAGGGTCGGGGCTGGGGTCCCCCTCCCCGGCCACGTCCCCGGCCCCGGTGCCGGGCGGCAGGGCCAGGCTGAGCCGCTTCAGCTTCGTGTTCTCCTTCTGCACCTGGGGGGGGGGGCCGGGGGGGTCGCTGCTGGAGCCCTGCCGGGGGCTGCCCCCGGGGGTCCCCAGGGCTGGGAGGGCACCAGCAGGGTCCTGACCCCACTGGGAAATCCCAACCCCCCCCCCAGGTGCGTGGCTGCAGGGGGCACGGAACGGAGAGAGTTTCTCCCATTGCAGGAAAAATTAGTGAAAATGGTGGAAATTTGCCTCTTTTTCTCATTTGTCTCCATGCACACCAAAAATGCCAATTCCAGCCCCATTCCTGGGGCGGAAATTGAAGTTTTTGCGCACGGAACTGCTGCTGACACCCCCGGGGGGACGTGACCCCCCCATGGCACCACCAGGCAGCGCCCGGCTTTGGGCACGGCGGGGACGCAGCTTGGGCAGGATCATGTGCCCACAACACTGCCCAAATTCCCTGAAACCACCCCAAAAAAATGAGGGCGGGGGGGGTGCGGGGGGTCCCTACCTGTGCCGCGTACGCCTCGGCTTGTTGGCGACACGTCCTCTGGATCTCACACTCTGCCTCCAGCGCCGAGAGCTCGGCCAGCAGCGCCTGTGAGGCTGTGGGGAGGGGGGGGCCGGGCTCAGCACCCCCCCACACCCCCTTTTTGCCCCCCTTTTTCTGCCCCCCCTGCGCTCCCCAACCCCTGGCACCCTGCGCCCCCCGGCACCCTGCGCCCTCTCCGGCGCTCACGGCACCGGGGACGTGCGTTTGGGGTGCGCTCCCCAAGCCGGTCCCACCTCCTCCATCCCCAGCGAGGGGTTTGGGGAGGGGGTGGGTGCGCAGCCCCCCCAGCCCCACACACGGGGTTGTGCCGTGGGGCCAGGGGTGCTCGGGAGGACTCGGGAGCTGCTCTCACCCTGCTGGAAGTCGTCCAGCCACGCTCTCGCTTCGTCGTCCTCGGAGAGGGTCTGGGGGGGGGGGGGGGGAGGTAGTGCCCAGTGTGAGCCCCAAGACCCCAATTTTATGGGGCTGCTGGGGTGGGAAGAGCCCGGTGAGAGCATCCCGGGGACAAGATCCTCTCTTGTCCCCTCCAAATTGCATGGGGAGGAGGGAAATAAAGCAGAAAACGAGCCCACGAGTGACACCTGGACCATGGCTGCCTCCTCCTCCTCCTCCTCCTCATCTTCCTCCTCGTCCTTCTCCTCCTCCTCCTCCTCCTCCTCGCTGCCCTCTGACTCCACGATGGCTGCGGGGGAAGCGAAACACGGCCGGAGGTTTCGGATGCAGGTGGGAAAAGGTTTGTGCTCCGTTCCCAACCTGCTGCTGGTGCTCAGCAGCCCCCCGGCACCGGGGGACCCCGGGGTGGCCGGGGCATCCCGCACCCACCAGTCCCAATTTCAACACAACCAGTTTGCCACTGGTCCCAGTTTCCCCCCCCTGCTCGCCAAACCTTGCATGGGGACAGCCCAGGGACCCCAGAGAAAGGCGCTGCCTGCTCTGCCCCATAAAACAACGGGATCGGGGTGGCCCACGGCCACCCAACCCCCCCGTGCACCCCAATTTTCCTGCATTTCCCCCCCCCCGGACCAGCTCCCAGAGCAGGCAGGGGCCGCGGTGCGCACGGGCTGCGGGGCAGGAATCCGGCACCTGCCCCTGACCCTTTTCCTGACAGCCCTAATCTGGTGGGGAATGCGCTCCGGCAGCCAAATCCCCCCCCTTGGTAATCCCCCCCCCGCCACCAGGACCCGCAGCCACCTGCAGGGGACCCCCAGGACCCGTGCCAGGGACGTGAAGGTTTGGGCAGGTTTTGGGGCTGTGCCCCCCACATCCCATACGGATGGAGAGATGGGGGGGCAGACACACAGACACCCCCCGTGCCATGCACCTAAACGCAGCCCCAAATCACCCCTCCCAGACCCCCCCCACAGCCCCCAGGGGTTGGCTGCGCCCTGCGGAGCCCCTCGGAGAGCGCAGGGCCCCCCAAAATCCACGGGGACACCCTTCCCTCAGGACGTGCCGCCACTCCTGGCTGCCCCCAAACCCCCAGAAAGGGACGGGGCCGGGACCCCAGACCCACAGAGCCTCACCTGCCAGCTGGGTGCTTTCCCCAGCCCAATCCATGGCAGCAGCAGTGCCGGTGCCCCCCGGAGCCCCCCGGAGCCCCCCGGTCCCGTGGCCGCCTGCTCCCGGCTCCCCGGCGCTCGTCCGCTCGCCGCAGGGAAGTGAAACCCCGCTGCAAGGCTCAGCAGCTGCCCCTGGGCGTGCAGCAGCAGCTCGGGGCCGAGCACCCCCATCCTCACGGGGATTTTCCTGCTGCTGCTGCAGCCCTGGGGGTGCCGGTTCGGGGGGGAGGTGGTGGGGGGCACGGCGGGACCCCCAGCCAAAGGGCTTTGTGCAGCGGGAAGGTGCCAGGGGGACACGCTGCTGCAGAAGGGGAGTGGGAACCGAAACTCGCTCTGCCCCAGCTGCAAGTCCCATTTCCCTTGGGGCTGAGCCTTTTTGGTGCAAAAATGAAAGAAAAACACCTTCGCGGGGGCTTTAAACCTCCTGGGTCCTCTCAAAAAAAGAAAAGGAGCTGTAGTTTAGCGAGACGCCCAGGCAGTTTCTGCAGCCGAGCACAGAGCCGGGCTGGGTGGGCTCCTGGAGCCCGTGGGGCTGGCCGTGGGGAGCAGCAGCGTGGGGCAGGGCCTGGCCCTCGTTCCTGGGGGGGGCACAAGGTGGGACAGCAGCGCCAGGATGCCATGGGGCAGTGCCATGGGGAGGAACGGGGCAGGGCGAGCTCGGAGCCGGGGTGGGAAGGAGGAGCGCACAGCTTAGGTTGGAGATCACACTGCTTTATTGCGCACGGGACGGAGGTTTCTGGCAATTTCCTTCTCGTTTGGGTTGGAAACGGGAAGTTTTTGGGCAGCAGCAGCTCACAGCGCCGTGCTGGTCGCCTGCTGGCCCCCAGCCTTGGCCTCACGGGGGTAATACTCGGCCAGGATGGGCTCGGGGATGCGCTTCAGCAGCTGCTTGGGGAAGATGCGCAGCAGCTGCCAGCCGATGTCCAGCGACTCGAAGATGCTCCGGTTCTCGTAGGGGCCTGGGGGAGAAGCAGGGAGGGCAGTGCAAGGGGGTGGGCAGCGCCGGGCTCTGCCCCATCCCGTCCTGTGCCATCCCACGCAGCCGTACCCTGGGTGATGAACTGCTTCTCGAACTTCTGCAGGAACTCCAGGTACAGCAAATCGTCAGCCGACAGCGCCTCCTCCCCGACCACCGCCTTCATCGCCTGCACGTCCTTGCCGATGGCGTAGCAGGCGTACTGGGGGGGCAGGGGGTGCCGTCAGGACAGACGGACACCCCCAGCAGCCCCGGCAGGAGCAGCGCAGCTGGAGGCTGCCCGGCTTGGGAAAATGCCACCCTGGGCTTGGCTGCTTGCCCCCGGCTCGTGGCACGCTTGGGGACACCCTAAGCAGGGTCTGCGTGGGCATTTGTGGGCATTTTTCGACCCCACAGCACCAAAACCCAGCAATTTGTGCTCAGTGAGCAGCGTCCTGCTGGCTGTCTCGCTCCTGCAGCAGGGCAAGGCCCCTGCGCCCCGCTGGGACTTTGCGCCCCGGGGACTTCCAGCTTCCCCTGCCAGGCACCTCCGCACCTCCAGGAGAGGCTGGGTGCCAAAACGAAGGGCTCCAGCCCACGATGAGCCAGATCTCAGCCCACAGCCAGGGGAGGAGGGGGCTGCAGCGACAACGGGTGCCGCTGCCCTCCCGCCCAGCCCTTACCAGCTGGTTGGAGACGTCGCCGTGGTCCTTCCTGGTCATGCCCTCCCCGATGGCCGACTTCATCAGACGGGAGAGCGAGGGCAGCACGTTGATGGGGGGGTAGATCTGTGGGGTGACAGGCACGGTCCCACACTGCCAGCCCCCTTGGCCCCCAAAGTTTTCCCCCCCCAAGCCCCGGTGCACCCGGCACGGATCCGGATCCCTCCCCGAAGGCGGCGCCGGGAACAAACCTGGCGGTTGTGGAGCTGCCGGTCCACGTAGATCTGCCCCTCTGTGATGAAGCCCGTCAGGTCGGGGATGGGGTGGGTGATGTCTGGGGAAAGCAGGCGGCGTGAGCACGGCTGCTCCGTGGGCACGGCCGCGGCACCGGCCACCAGCCCGGGGCGCATGGAGCTGTGCCACCGGAGGACGCAGCGGGGAACAGGAGCAGGTCCCGCACCACAGGGCAAGCGAGCACTGAGTTTAGATCTGTGGGGGGGTGTGTGCGCCCCCGGGGGTGCCTGCGTGCCCCCCATGCACATGTGCCCACCCCACCCACGCTCTGGCTGCGGCATAACACCACGCGCCACCACGCTCTGCCTGGGTCGACGCAGGGGGGAAAAAAAGTTGGCGTGGGGAATAAAGAAACCAAAAAAGAAACCAAGAGTTGCTACAAAACGATGTGAAAAAGCCATGGCAGATCCCCCAAGCTCCCCCAAAACGGCTCGAATAAACCAGCCTGGCATTTCCCAGCCCTGTGGTTTCCCGTGCCCCCGTGCACCCCAGGGTGATGCTCACCGTCGTTGGGCATGGTGAGGATGGGGATCTGCGTGATGGAGCCGTTCCTGCCCTCCACGCGCCCAGCACGCTCGTAGATGGTGGCCAGGTCGGTGTACATGTAGCCAGGGAAGCCACGGCGCCCGGGCACCTCCTCCCTGGCTGCCGACACCTGCGGGATGAGGGGGGCTGCGGGCGGTGCTGGAGGGGGCAGCGGGGCGAGCAGAGGGGGTCTGGGGACGTGGGGACGTGGGGAGGGGGAGCTGGGAGGGGGCTGAGGGTGGCACCGACCTCGCGCAGGGCCTCGGCGTAGGAGCTCATGTCCGTCAGGATGACCAGCACGTGCTTCTCGCACTGGTACGCCAGGAATTCGGCCGTGGTGAGCGCCAGGCGTGGGGTGATGATGCGCTCGATGCTGCGGGGAGAGGGGCTGGGGATGCCGGGGGGCTGCGGGGGGAAGCACCCGGCACCTGCAGCACCTCCCGGCAGGAGGAAGAGGAGGAGGAGGAGGAAGAAGAGAGCCCCCCGGGGGACTCACGTGGGGTCGTTGGCCAGGTTGAGGAAGAGGCAGACGTTCTCCATGGAGCCGTTCTCCTCGAAGTCCGACTTGAAGAAGCGAGCCGTCTCCATGTTCACCTGCGGGGCGAGCGGCTCAGCGGGGTCCCCCTGCACAATTTGGCTTTGCCGAGGTCCCCTCCCGGTCCTGACTCACCCCCATGGCCGCGAAGACGATGGCGAAGTTGTCCTCGTGGTAATCCATCACGTCCTTGGATTTCTTCACCAGGCCGGCCTGCCGGCAGATCTGCGCGGCGATCTGCAGCGGGACGGGGCGGGCGTGCACCATGGGGCCGTGCCATGGGGGCCACATCCATACCGGGACCACGGCACGGCCCCACGGCACACCCAGACCCCCTCGAGGGGCAGGGGGTGCCGCTGGGGCACAGCCAAACAAGGAGGAAGCATCCCCAAAACGGGCACCGGCATCCCCAGCCGCCCACCCCGCGGCCGTCCCCGCTGTCCCCAGGTGCCCCGCAGAGGTTGGGACCCCAGGGGCTGGGGGGGGGGGGACACAGGGAGCTGGCACCCCATCGCCGTGCCACCGTGCCCTTCGTACCGAGCCCCGGCTCGGCCGTGTGAACTCTCCCCTGTCACTCCCGATCCGTCAGGGACGTTTTTCTGTCCCACTGCATCACCGTCTGGCGCTGCGCCCTGCCGCTGCTGCGGGGGGAGCGAGGGGCTGCGCTCCCTGACCCTGTCCCTGTCCCTGTCCCCATCTTTGTCCCCAGGCACCCAAGCCCGGTGGTTTTGGTGCAGCGCCCATCATTCAGAGGGTGCCGGGGGGGCTCTGCAGCCCCCACCCCACACTCGGGGCACCCCACATCGGGGGCACCCCTCATCGGAAAACCCCACGGCTCATCCTATGGAGAATCACAGAATACCCCGAGTTGGAAGGGACCCACGGGGTCCCAAAAATTCAGGCCATGACACAGCTCTACCCAAAAATTCAGACCGTGTGACTGAGCGTGGAGCCCAAACGCTTCCTAAACTCCAAAATCTCTGCCCCCAGTGCTGCTCTTGGCTTAATGGGGTAGCAAAGGGGGCACTGCGGATGGGGAAACTGAGGCACCCCAGTGGTGCGCCTGGCACCCACCCCGCACAGCGTGGACGTGGCAGATCCCAGCCCCACGCAGAGCCAGGGCAGGGGGCGAGGATCCTAAAACTCCCCCCCCACTGCGTCCCCGTGCCAGGGGCTCGTGGCCCCGCTCTGCCCCATGGGGCACCCACCTCGTTGTGGGGGAGGCCGGCGGCGGAGAAGATGGGGATCTTCTGCCCCCGGGCGATGCTGTTCATCACGTCGATGGGCGAGATGCCCGTCTGGATCATCTCCTCGGGGTAGATGCGCCCGTGGGGGTTGATGGGCTGGCCTGGAGGAAGAAAGGCCGGTGGGGCACCCCAAATAACACAAAATGTTAATGGAATAATAATTAGAATAATTAATAGAGTATGGAATAACTCATAAGGAGCCCTTTTCGGACCCGTGCGGCCACCCGGTGCCCGCGCCCGTTACCGTTGATGTCCAGAAAGTCCTCGGCCATCACCGGGGGGCCGCTGTCGATGGGCTTGGCGGAGCCGTTGAAGACACGACCTGCAAGGAGAGGGCTGCTGGGGCACGGGGGCAGGAGGGGACGGGGCTGCTGTGCCCCCCCCCGGGCTGTCAGCAGTGCTACCAGGTCCATTTGGGCACTGGGGAGAGAGGCGGCTGAGGCTGAGCTGCACCTTCGTGGAAAAGCAGCACTTTGGGTCCCCGGAGGGTGCCCCCAATCCCAGTCCCTGCTGGGCCATTTGCAGCGTGAAGCCCCAAAACGGCTGCCCCGGGCAGCAGCTCAAGGGGCTGCGATGCTGCTGGGTGTGGAAATGGAACTGGGGAGCACCCAAGGGTGCCACGGGGTGTGGGCCAGGTCCCCGCAGCCCTCCTGATGCCACCCACGCCACCTTCTCCACGGGGTCCCCGGGTTGGGGTGACACCGAGGCACCCCAACGTCCCCAAAACGGCTCCGGGGGGTGCCAGAGGGTTCCCGAACAGCTCCGGCACTGCAGCTCCTGCCCAACCTCCTCATCGAGCGGCTCCGCTGGGGATCGATAGCTCCGAAGCCCCCCACCTGCCGCCCCTATAGGGCCACGGGGGTCGGGGCAGCGTTGCGGGTGTCAGAGCACATAAAGATCACGGCGGGGATGGGAACGGGGGCGAGGGAGCGCCGAGCATGAAAGGTCAGCAGCCTTGGTGCTGGCTGGGCACGCAGGCAGCGGTGGCACGGGGGGGGGCTTTATTTTATTGACTGCTTTTCCCTTTGCTTTGCTTTATTGACCGTTTTCCCTTTGTTTTGCTTTATTGACCATTTCCCTCGCCGACGTCGCCGCCGGTCCCGGTGGCACCAGGGTCAATAAAGCAAAGCACCTGAAGAGCACCGCGGGTGGGACAGA